TCATCCCTGGGATACAAGGATGGCACAATATTTGCAAATCAATAAACATAATACATCACATGAACAAAAGAAAAGACAAAAATCCTTGATCAAATCAATAGATGCAGAAAAAGCATTTGATAAGGTATAGCACCCATTTATGATAAAACACTCAGCAAAGTGGGAGTAGAGAGAGCACACCTAAATATAAGAAAGCCTGTATATGAGAGACTTATAGCCAACATCATATTCAATAGGCAAAACCTTAAAGCTTTCCCACTAAGATCAGAAACAACACAAGAATGATTTCTATTCAACATAGTATGGAAGCCATGGACACAAGAATTAGATAAGAAAATGAAACAAAAGGCATCCAAATTGGAAAGAAGGAAACAAAATTGTCATCATTTGCAGATGACATGATAGTGTACATAGAAAATCCTGTAGACTCCACCAAAAAACTACTCAACCTAATAAGTGAATTTGGAAAAATGACAGGACACAAACTCAATATTCAGAAATTGAAGGCATTTTTATATACCAACAATGGAATATTAGAAACAGAAATCAGGAAATAAAATTCTATTGGCTATAGCAACAAGAAAAATAAAGTTCCTAGGAATAAACCTAATCAAGGGGGTAAAATATCTGTATTCAGAAAATTACACAACGCTGAAAAGAGAAATGAAGGAAGACTCAAATGGAAGCCTATAGCATGTTCATAGATCGGAAGAAATGACATCATCAAAATGTATATACTACCCAAAGCAATTTATAGATTCAACACAACCCCTATTAAAATACCAATAACGTATTTCACAGATATAGAACAGACATTTCAAAAATATATATGAAACCATAAACAAACATTTTGAGAAAGAACAATGTAGGAGGGATTTCAATGCCTGATATCAGACTGTATTACAAAGCCACAGTAATCAAAACTGTCTGGTGTTGGCATAAGAACAGATAAATAGGTCAATGTAACAGAACAGAGAGCCCAGAAATAAACCGAAGTCTCTATGGTCAATTAATATTCAACAAAGTGGGCAGGAACATAAGGTGAAGTAAAAATAGCTTCTTCAACAAATGATGTTGGGACATCTAGGCAGCTACATGCAAAAAAATGAAACTTGACCACCAAGTTACATCATACACAAAAGTAAACTCAAGATGGATAAAAGACTTAAGTATAAGTTACAACTCCATCAAAGTCCTGGAGAACATAGACAGGAAAATCTCAGATAGTCCACACGGCAATATTTTCACCAATGTATCTCCTAGAGCAAGGGATATAAAGGTAAGAATATATGAATGGGACTTCACCAAAATATAAAGCTTTTCTGTAGGCTAGAGAAAATATCAGCAAAATGAAAAGGGAAACAACCGTATGGGAAAATATATTTGCCAATGATATCACAGATAAGGGTTTGATCTCCAAAATATGTAAAGAACTCACATGACTCCACTCCAGGAAGACAAACAATCCAATTTAAAAATGGGCAAAGGACCTGAACATAATCCATAATCCAGCCATGACCCTGGTCTCTTCCCAGGTTAACTAGCATTTCCACCTATAACATTCTCACAACAAATATATCTTTGTTTCTATACACTGCCATCAAACTCTTAGCCAGTGACCCTCTGCATCTGTTCATTTCCCCTGATGAAGTGTCACTCTGTAAACATTTCCCATCCTGGCAGGGGAAATGTTTCATTCTGTTTTCTACAAACTTTGGGTATAGGTTGTGATATGTTAATTGCAACAAAGATTATAATTAATTTACAGCTATGCTCAAACTTTGAAATCCATTCCCCAAACCATAGGTAAGAAATAGAATCCTGTTTACACTGGAACCACAATGAGATACCAGTTCACACTGGTCAGAATGGATACCATAAAGAAATCAAGAAACAACAAGTGCTGGTGAGGTTGTGGAGAAAAGGGAACTCTAGTGCACTGTTGGTGGGAATTCAGGCTGGTGCAACCATTGTAGACCACAGTATGGAATTTCCTCAGAAAACTAAAAATGGAACTGCCTTTTGACCCAGCCATTCTATTGCTTGGTGTATATCCTAAGAATTCTGAAATACAAATTCAAAAGTTCTATGCACCCCAACATTCACAGCAGCACCATTTACTATAGCAAAGTGCTGGAAGCAACCTAAGTGTCCATTAGTAAATGGGTAGATCAATATACTGTGGTACATTTGCACAATGGAATACTAGGCAACTGAAAGAAAGAAGGAGTTCCTATCCTTTGTGTCAGCTTCGATGTATCTGGAGAGCATTATACTAAGTGAAAATAGCCAGGCGGTGAATGGCAAATACCATATGATCTCACCTGTAAGTGGTACCTAATCAACAAAACAAGCATGCAAAATATAACCAGACACATTGAAATTAAGAACTAACTGACAGTAACCAGAGGGGAGGTGGGAGGTGATAATGGAGGGTAAAGGAGGATGAGTTCTCAAGGAGGAAGTAAGAAGGACAAATGGATGAAGCCAAAGGGGTTTAGGATCGAGGGTGGAAAGTGGGGATGGCTGGGGTGGGTGACAATGGTGGCGTGAAAATGGAGACCACTGTACTTGAAGAACAATAAAAAAAGAAAAAATAATTTCATTTTAATAAGAAGAGTTGATAAATTTAGAATACTGATTAATAACCATTGAAGAAGTTACTGTAACCATGTTTTTTAAAGGAAAGAATAGAATTTGGAACTGGAAGAACTGGTTTCAAGATTAAATTTGTCACTTAACAGTTCTGCAAATTTGGGCAAGATCCAAACTGTACCTGAACCCCAATCCTTTAATCTATGAAATGGACAATTCTACTGCACATCAAGTTGTTGTAGGGACCAAATAATATGAAATAATATGAAATTGATATGAAATCATATAAAAATATAGAGTGCTGTTAGTATTAATAACTGTTCAAAATGTGAACAAGGATCTAAAAAATGTAGCTTTATTATTTTGAATCATGTTTTAAAGAGAGGCAGAAAACACAAAAATAATGAAATTTCATCTCCATAATCACAAAAAGCTGACATTATCATCCCCAGCCAAAAACTATAGGGCTCAGAGAGGTTAAGTAACATGCCATAGTCACAACACAGCTTGTAAACAGATGAGCTGAACTTTATAAACTATACCTGCCTAACTTCACATGGTCTACTCTTTCTGATGCACCAGTTTGCCTTAAAAAAAATAAAATAAACTGACACATATACTTTTCTTAACATTAAAAAGGAGATTTAGAGGTTTATGTTGAAAACTAGCTTATTCTGATAATTCCCCATTAAGATGTGGGCATCTGGAATCTGGCTCATTTTCCTTTTATGAAATATTGTAAACATAATTTGAGTGTAGCTTAAACAGTGTCTAGATGGGATAAAGCATGTTACTTGGAAAATCAGATTTTATAGATTACAAAAATTTAATGCCTAAGCTGTACTTAGTGGACACAAATTTTTGAAAAAGCAAATACTTCAGTAAACAATTGACTGGTCTATCAATTTCACCATTGTTTCTATATAAGAATGGAGTAATTATAGCAAAAATAAATAATATAAACTTCACTATAACTAGTAGTGAGGAACACATTTGTCTTCATGGAGTTCAGTTCACAAGAAATACAGAGGGAAATTTTTGACCCAAGTATAATTTTTACTTCCAGTGTTTTTTAAATTACTCTATTTAAAGAAGTTAGAGAATTCTCTTTCCCTGCGGCTTTCTGAAAAAAAAAAAATGATTCTGAGAACACTTTAGGTCTATATAAAATTTTATCCTGAATATAATTTCAGGATAACTCCTGAAATTCCAACCATTAATTTTGATTACTGAAGAATGGGATAGAGGGAATATTGTAATAAAGTTGGGGACAGGGCAGGATTAAGAAGGAAAGTGGATGTGAAGGTGGAGGTACTGATTTAAACACTTAAAAAACTTCTGAGCACAGATCATGCCCTGACAAGTACCGTAAACATCTTTTCTTTGAAATATTGTATAAGGTTGTGGTTAAATTCATGTGCCATGGAGTCATGCACTCCCAGATCAAATTGCAGCTCTGTCAAACCTCCCAATCTTATAATTTTAGTCTATTTACTTAAACCATTTGTGACTCTGCTTTCTCATCTGAAAATTATAAATAATTAGTACTGCATAGGGTTGTTAATGATGATTCAGCATAATCATCAATGCACAACGCCAATGTGGTTGATGCTATTATTATTTTGGTGTTATAGAACTTACTTGACATATATATTAAAGTTTCCCATAAACTTATAAAACAATTTTGAGAAATGGAAACTACTTAAGACCTGTTTCTTTACCATTGAATAAATTTATGAAGTAGTATAAAAGACACACCTATTTTGATAAAATATCAACTCTGTTTAAGAAACATTAAGATGTTTATAAAATTAAAAGATGATAAAACCAAACCTTCTAGTAAATAATCATGAGCCTATATATATTTTCAAAAGTGCACAAATTTGTACTCATCATAGGAGGACATATTGATTTGTGTGTGTATTTCAAGCAACCATCTCACGCACGCTCTGCCTGTGGCTGACAGCATCCTCCCCTGGGGTGGTGGCTTCTCTAATTGCAGTGAATGGTGATTCTATTTGTAGACATTACTTCCTACAGCATGCCTTCCTTTCTGTGATTATTATTTAAAAAATACTTGTCCTTAAATTATTTAGTCTCCTTGACTAAAGAGAGAATTCTACAGCACAACAAGAACCACACAGATAATGTATATCTGAGTTGAAAATGTATATTCTCTCACCAGCAAAATGATCTGTATTTACTGCAACATAGGGAAGGCAAAAAGCATTTTAATACTGCACATTCTCAAACTACGTTAGCCCAAGAGAACAAAAAGAAAAAAATCAAAAGTACTAATGTAATTTTAATTGCCAGGGCATTTTTCCACTTCCCACAATATCTCTTGCTTATAAACAAAATCACTATTTTCACAATGATAGAAAGTTGAAAGCAAGAGGACTTACCTTCTTTCAACCAAGAAATGTTATTTTTATCATTTTCAAAATGTTCAGCTGCTCTTACTTTTATCTTTTCCAGCTCAGTTTCTGACATCTAAGTGGAAACAAAATTTGTGATATAAAAAATTCATTAAGAATCCAAACTTATGACATTTAGAGATTACTGCCATATTATAGGAAAATGTTTTCTCTATAGTTCTGCAGTTCACTGTCTAATGTTATCTTACATTTTATCCATTTGCAGTATTTTAAAATATTAACATTGAAAGCTAGACTTTATACAATATTTCATTTCCCAGCAGTAAAGATTACTATAAGATTTTATAATTTATGAATATGAAAGAATAACAGATCAACAACTAGCCACAGATTTGTAAAAAAACATTAGTTGCTGTTTTAATTTTTTCAAATAGTCTATAGAAAAGCATGTTGCAAACTGATATACAAAGATATAAATAATAATAAAACATGAAAGGACATTTTCAGCAGTTTATTGTGTTGAATGAGAACCTTATGATCTGCGACAGGCCTGGTTGAGCTCCCTGAAGTTGAGGAGATCTATTATGCACCTTTACTCACTGCACTTGACTTTCATTGCCTCTCTAATGAGCTAGGGTGCTGCACTTGAACCAGCAGCTCATTGTACTTACCTGTGTGTTACAATAGGAGAAGGCCCAGACGGGACTGGTGAGCAGTGTGCGATGTGCTGGGCAGCCTTCCTGGTAGCCTCTCAATGTCCAGCATTCCTCTCCCTGCCAGAAATAAGCAAAGAAGCAAATGCACTCCTGCCTGGGTAGTGCTACATCTGTAATGCTGCCAAAAGCATCCAACTTGTGGCTGAGAGGTTTTTTGCTTTTTTTTTAAGGTAATATAAAGCCTGTGGTTCAAAACAATGAAAACCTTCTCTAGGCTAGCACTTACTTAAAACAACACTCCATAAAATTGGGTAAAAATAAGGAAACTTTTTCAAATTGACAGAGTTTCTTCAGTCCTCTTCCTTCTACACCTGCCACTCATCACTTAAGGTTAGTATTAAAGGATGATGAAAAATATATTGAAATTTATACCTAGACTACTTGGGTTAAAAGAAAGAGAAGGGAAACCTCTAAAGCTATGTTCTCTAGAAGTTCATCCTGTAGCTAACATTTTGAAAAATGAGTTTTTCTAATATTTTAAAGGAAATAAGAAACAGATAAAGTTCTTTTAAGAGTCTGCAGATGTTCCAAAAAGGATTTAAAATAATATTTCAAAGGGGATTTGTCGTTAGATTCTCAAAGCTAATGTTGTTTTCAACAGAAATTAATAAGCAAAAGCATAACCCAATGGATTTGTATAATAATAATAAATAGTCCAACATCTCTAGGTGTTGTCATATTTTTCATCATAGAATATAATCTTATATTTCGGCCCAAAGTAGTTTGCCTTCTCTGATGTATTCATCTGGACAACTGCCTATTCTCTGATTACCTTGCATCCATTTCACCTTGTTTTCCAACATCATTTTTTGTACTCTGCTCCCAGTTTCATTGTGTTTAAAAACTATCTTGAGCCCTGGCTGGCATAGCTCAGTGGATTGAGCACAGGCTGCGAACCAGGCATCACAGGTTCGATTCCCAGTCAGGGCACATGCCTGGGTTGCAGGCTGTGGCCGCCAGCAGCCACATGTTGATGTTCCCCCTCTCTCCCTCTCTCCCTCTCCCTCTCTCCCTCTCTCCCTCTCTCCCTCTCTCCCTCCCTCCCTCCCTCCCTCCCTCCCTCCCTCTCTCTCTCTCTCTCTCTCTCTCTCTCTCTCTCTCTCTCTCTCTCTCTCTCTCTCCCTTTCCTCTCTTGATAAACCAATTTTCATACAAGATAACTTTCAGTTTCTCCTATTACCAATAAGGTAAATTTAAGATTCCTTAGACAGCTAGGAAGATATTGAATGATTCGATTCTATAACATGATTTTTAAACTGTGGCCAAAAGTCTTAAGATTTCTTTGAAGTGCCTAAACTTTTACTCCATCCTAATTGTAATGCTGCTCTTCCTTGAACTTACCTGCTTCTATTACTAACATTCCAGGAATGTTTTCTCAAAATTTCGTCTCTACCTCCACTGTGAAGCCTTATGTATTGCTCTCATTTGGAAATGATTGTTACCTTCTCTGATTCCACTTGGAACTCCTGGTGTAAACCTCTCCGTTTGGGTCTTATAAAAACCCTTCCTATATTCCTGACAAGATTCTAAACCACTCCCTCAGGGGTCAGCCTCTATATCCACATGCATTTTATGCATTTTTCTCAGTGTATGACATGATCACGAACAGATCAATTAATGGTTAGATAAACAAAATCAGGGTATCAAAAAGCTATGGTGTTGTTCTTTGTCTTAAAGTGCAGTTGGCAGGGGTCTGTCAGGCAGATTATTTCACCAGTGCTGACCATATAATTTCAGATTAACTGATTTATATTCCATTCCTGGGAGAGGTTAAACTGTAATTAACATTGGTTTTATGTCTTAGTTTGGTGATAGAGCTTAGCACAAGTGGCTCCACTTTGGGTCTATTATCTCTTTTTTAAAAGAGTGTGTGAAATTACCTAAATTTTCTATATGGAATTTTCTTTCACTTTGAAGAGCACCATTTTTTTTAAAATTTAGACAACTTATTTTAATTCTATTCCTGTTTTTGTATTTGCAATCATTCTTTAAGAGAGATGTACATGTTAATAAGCATCATTCAACTTTTTCACCTGCTTCATCAATAAAGATGATAAGAACAGGCACCAAGTACTTTTTCCTGAATCAACTGTATATCATTAGTGCCTTTATTGGACATTGCATTAAGTGTACTCTATGAGTGCCAGCCTTTAATCCATTTATTCAACCACCTAGAGATGTACTTTGGCCACAAAATTTTCCATCTGGGTGATGGATTCTGATTTAGATTAGGATTTTAGTCTTTTGAGCTGGCCTAGGACTTGGGATGAATGAGATAAACCATAGCTGATGAGAGGAAGTAAAGGGAAACTAAGTCTGATGAACCCCAGGCAGAATAGATTAGGACAATCAATGGTCCAAAATGAAGCTCATATTTCATAGGGCCAGCCTCAGAAGTCAGGGTAGTTTGATTAGAACACAAAGAGAATAAACACATTTTTTAAAAGAATTCCTTATCTAAATTATGTTTATTGTATATATTTAAATAATGAGCTAAATAATGAAGGCCCAGGGATGTGGTCTCAAGACTCAAGTTTTCTTCATAAATTGTTTTTGTCTTCTAAGTGAAGATAGTTTGAATATACTCTTATTTGATAACCCCATTCCTTTATTTTGACTCATACATCAATATATCTAGTTCCTAATCAAAATGTGATCCAGAGATAAAACCTCTAAAGTCAAATTATTCAAGGGAAGACAATTTTTGCCAAGACAAGCGCTTGGGAGATCATTATATGTTTCATGTTCTCATTTTTGTTAAAATGAAATCAACTGGTTGAAGCTAGAGGTTTTTAAAGAAACAAATAATTATGTGTTATAATATTAGTCTTTTATTATCTTCAAAATCACCACATTGTCACTTTCCATTAATTATAAAGTAATGTAATTACATGCATAATGTAAGATGATATTAATCACTGTGTAAAGAAGTCACCACTCAGATTATTAGATTTGAGGACTATAATTTGTACAATCGAGCTTTCTGAAGGATTAGTGAATTGGATTCAAATGGAAATGGTATAGGAAATGGAATACCACTCCTATGAAAGTATATATTTTGATGCAAAATGATATCACTGTATTATATAGTATAGTTAATTAATTACTCTAATTAATTTTTCTAATGACCAATATATGCCATACATATTTTATATTTAAAAGTTGTTTTGGGGATTTTGTGGTTTTGGTAAAAAAATATACATAGAGTAAGTAAACACTGGCCTAAAGTATTAAAGGCAAAATTAAATAAAAGAAAAAGAAAATTTTGTATTTGCAGCACATGTTCCCAGGGGAAGGTTACAGCTAATCCCACAAGGCATACAGTATGTTATTACAGTATAACTTTTGTAAAGTTATTACATTTTGGATGAATTATACAATATTTATACCTAGTTAAATTGACCTAACCCCAACAAAATATAAATCAAACCTGAAAGGATCCAAAGTATATATCAAACATTTAACTGTTTGTTAGAAAAAATTAACACCCTTTAAAAATTGCAACATAGTTCACCTCTCTACAATACATAATCCAAAATGTCCAGTACACAATAAAAAAAATTAAGTATTTGAAGAATCAATAAAATGTAACCCAACCAAGAAAACAAGCAGTCAATAGGAAATCCAGATGTTGGAGATGTTAGATAATGACTTTAAACTAGCTACAATGAATATGATCAAGAAACTAAAGGAAAAGATGGTGATATTGAATAATAAATGATGGGTGGATATTATCTGCAAAGAAGTAGGAACTATTAGAAACAACCAAATGTAATGTAACACAAAAATCTGGAACTGAAAGTATATCTGAAATGAAAAATAATCAGAGCCTCTGTAACTTGTGTGAAAATATTAAGTGGATTAACATGTGCAATTGGAATGCTAAAGGGAGAGAAGAGATAGAAGGGGGTCAGAAAAATATTTGAAGAAATAATGGACCCAAATGGCTAGAATTTAGTGAAAAATATCAATTGCAGATTTATAATCCCTCAAAACCTAAGTGGAAAAAAACACAAAGAAAACTACATCTACACATGTTATAGTTAAGTCGCTAAAATACCAAAGGGGAAAAATTAAAGTGACTAGAGATAGATGAAAATGAATACAATAAATAGAGGGGGGAAATGATAGGAATGATGACAAAATTAAAAAGGAAGGAAAGAAGGAACAAAGCAATCAAGGAAAGAAAATGGCAATCATGAATTCTATATTCAGTATACCAGTAAATATCCTTTACAAATGAGAGTAAAATAAAGACAGTTTTAGGTAAACAAAAGCTGGAAGGGTTTGTAACCAGCAAACCCAAACTTCATGAGATGATAAAGGAATTTCTTTTGGGTGGAAAAGAATGAAATCAAATGAAACTTCAGGTCTACCAGAAGGAATTGAAGAGAACCCA